GAGAGAGAGAGAGATCTTTTTTCTTTGCGAAGTTATTATATATTCAAATATTGTAAGAAAAAAAGATTTGATGCGCTAGAGAGAAATAACGAAGAATTTTCCTGTTATATTCCCGTCGATAATAACGTGTTCATAAAGAGTCATTTGCATGTTTGTGGAAATGTTTGCTATCGTGATGTATTATACAATAACGCATTATGAATAATTTATTTCATGATTGATGATTTCGGATATTTTTTTACAAAATTATGAATCTTTTATTTTCGTACATTATTTTTTATTGACAGCTTTTTTAACGAATTTGAAATTTATTTTCTTATCAAAGTATTATGAATAATTATTTATTATATTTATTATTACAGTTTCCCAATTTATTTATATTTATATATATTTCTAATATTTTTGATAAATCAGACTTAAATTTATTTTTTAAGTTGTTTGAAAAATATTACATCTATAAATAATCGTTTTTTTAATTATTTATTTTATTTATTAAATATTTATGATTAATACATATAAGTGGGCGATGATAAACGATAAGTAAGTTTTAAAATGGAAAACTAAATAAAATATTACATTTTTTTATTTTTTTGGATAAAATCAGTTTATTCTGTTTTGAACTATAAAATAATTTTTGAATATTTCAAAGTATCTAAGAAAAGAAATTAATAAGTCTAAGTTAAAGTCAAAATAGATAATCTTTGACCGTGTTTCCTAATTAAATAATTAAATTTTGTTATTTATATTCTTAGCATTTTACAAATATATATATATATTTTTTTTAATTTTAATATTTATATATATTTTTTCAAAATTATTATTTTTAACGAATTGCGTCGATGAATATCGATTAATAGTTGATAAACAATAGACAAAGGTCTTAAATAAATAAATACAATAACACAGCAAACGCTTTATCATAGATACCGATAGCTATATCTTTTGTCTTTCGTGTTTATAACATATTTTTTTTGTAAAACTGAAAGACAAAGAAATAAACAAAGATTGCGGATTTGAAATAAAAGATGAGACAAGAAAGGAAGAAAATTATGCTTGATTATTAACGTGATTATTAACGTACGTTGTGATATTGAATATTTTTTTCTTGCAAGAAATCTTGGCTTATCAATCTCGATATTGTTAAATACCTTCTTTAATTTGCAGTGACGCTAAATATCTTTAATATCTCTTGCCCGAATGCAGAAATCATTTGTGCATCAAAACAATATCAAATATTTATATATCTCGGTAAAATTTCTCACGTGTAAATATTAATCATTGCGAGACTGTATTTATCTTACCACGATACGTGACGAAATATAATAACGATTTATTGGAAGCACATCCACGTGTCGCAAACTCGCTCGTGTATTTTCCTCTGGCTTCTCTTGTCCCTCTACATTCCTCATGTGTTTCCTAGATCACTGACAGTCAGTTGCTCCTCGACTCGAACATGATACGGACGTAACGACGATCTTTCTCTACTCCTGTTCACTTTTATCGGAGTAACGACCGCAATATTACTTCAACATTGTTACTCCAAATCCTTTTAAAATTAATTATCTGACGAAAAAGAATTGTATAATTAAAAATTCTTTTTTACAAAATTTTCTTTTCTTTGTTTTATTTGATATGCATTTTTTTTTATTGATTTTTGGATGGATTGTTAACAATAAATAAGCATTTTGTGATAACATTGCTAGTGTTTCTGTGTGTGATTTTAATATTTATTTTTATTGAATTTATTTATTTTTTTCAGTGACGGAAATACAAAATGTCTTCAGTCGATACACGATCGATAAGAATGCCCGAAGAAATGGATTTGTATGTATCGCATGAACCAAATGATGCCTTGAGACAGGAATGCCGATTTACGTTGGATGCATCTAGCACTCTGGAATCATCCTCCATGTATGGCGATTTTGCAATATGTTACGACGGTCATGCTGCATCCAAAACCGTTGATGCCGTCCTATTCGAAAGGGATATTATCGCAACACTAGACAACGAGCCGAACAATGTGGCTCATAGCTTGTTCCAGGACACTTTGCTAGCTTATGATGTCCCTTCAACCAATTTATGCTCGTTGCAAGAAGAATCGATTTGCTCCATTTCTTCTTGTGATCATGGACGTGATATAAGTGTAATGCACCACCGAAATCATCACGATTCTACGCGAACGAATGACGCCATGAGACATTCTCGTCTATCGAATGCATTTTCGACGAAATTCGGTATCAATCAAATGTTAGGATTAACGTTTGCTAATTTGATAACGAACTGTACAGTGAGAAGATGGCGAACCTGTTTTCTTCTCTTAATCTATCTATTTTCTATGACACCGTGTTCAGCAAATCGTTGTTCTGTTGGATTAAACACACCAGGATGTAAGTTTCAGAAAAATTACCTTTTCAATATAGATGCAATATAGATGCAATTGAATGAGTATATGATGCGTTTGGCTTATGAATTGGATATTGCTAGTAATCATAGGCGATTTTCGATAGGATATTCGAGCATACATTACAAAACAGAGATAAAAGCTATTATATTCTGTATCTCTCGTGTGCGTACTGCTGGTACGCTAGGATTATAAATAAAACATATGTCTTATTTCTCCTTTTGGAATTCTAGTGTCGAGCTAAATGCATATATCTATATTTAATACGCGAGCGGTACAGTTCACATCGAAATTGCCAACTCTATTGAAGTATATTCTTATGAAATCATTTTCATAATGTTATGAAGTAATATTTAGAACATAAATTTTGATTTACATTTTTTACATTATTTACTAAAAAAATTTGTTTTCATCGATTATCTTTTTATAATAAAAATATAAATACTTTGTTTCGAATACTAGTATGATGAATTTTACTATATTTTTTATAGGGACCTGGCCGCAAGGTGATATCATTGTCAAATATGGTGATCCATTGAAAATGTATTGTATATTGAATCAGACGATCGTAGATACTTTCTATCCTGGTAAAAGTTCGCAGAATCTCGTATTCTATCGTAATGATGAAGAATTGGGATCATCTTTCGTGACTATTATCAATGAAACAACGTTAGAATTATACATCGAAAAACCACCCGCCTCTGATGACATGTATAATTGCAAGTTAATATTAGACGACAATGGCAGTGACGTGGCAGTTTGTCTTAATAAGGTTGTAGTTGGATGTAAGTAACCATATCCATTTGAATTAATTTTTATATATTTTTTTTTACATATACAATAGATTTTTGAATAAAAAAACATTGATTTCTCGTGAAAAAATAAGACAAAATAAATGGAATGAAAATTTCTACGTTTTTCCTATGAAAAGAAATTTTATTTTATACTTTTTATTTACTTTTTTATAATTTTTTTATTGCATGAATTCT